CAAGCTCCTGGCCCTGCACAAAACAATTCCTTCATGTGCCTGAGAGCATTGTCCAAACACTCTGTGAGCTCTGCCAGTCTGGGAGGGAAGACCACTTCCCTGCGGAGCTGCTCCAATGCCCAGCCACCCTTTGGGGGCAGAACCTGTTCCAAATATCCAACCTAAACCTCTCCTAACACAACTCCATGGTATTCCCTGGGTCCTACCCCTGCACATGCCATGCCCAGAGCTACTACAGCACTGTTTGAGCAGCCTTTCTGAAGTTGTTACATGTTTTGGTCTCCAAACCAATAAGACAGGTGAGGAATTTCAGTGGATGAGGGAGGATTTTCAGGGCTGCTGCTCAGGTGAGGTGGTCTGTGGCACAAGGCACCCCGTCAGACTAACAAATATGCTGACAGCTTCCAGGGTGTGTCTGTCTCAATGTTTTTTCCTTTATAGCCATGGAGAAATAGAGCAAAGAGGGTTGTGAGAGGCTGTTTGTGGGATGTTATGGCAGAATTTCCACATTAGAAAATCTGTAAAGGTGTGAATTTGAACCTTGACTCCAAATGGATGCTGCTGATGTGTTTGATCCAGGGGAGGAACTATGCCAGTCAGGTTTCCTTCATGGAGGCCTTGATCTCACAAACAAGGCAGCTGCATCAGCCAGATATGGACAAATTGTTCCCCTTGCTGTTACTGTGATAGACCAGAGAACTTGGCGAGTCTGCCTTCTACCTCTGCCATCCTCCACCTGCTCATCAAAGAGTGATGAGAATTTGTTGTGCAGCTCAGCAAGTTAATATTAGAGAATTACAAATGTGAAATGCAGACGATGGCGATGTAAAAATGCCGAAAAGCTCTGATTAGGAGCTGCCCCCTCCAAGTTGGAGACTTCACAGGGATCAGAGAGAAAATGACAGATTTCACACACCAGTTCTGATGAATTTTACAGATTGCCCTGGGCTGCAGGGAAACCATTTCAAAGCATAGAAGTCATTGAGAATTTCTCCTTTCTTGTGCAGTGATGAGAAAAATTTCTGAAACATTGTGCTTTGCTGTCACCAGGCTGTTTTCCTCAGCAATTATTTCGCCAGGCTGCAAAAGGAGGGGAAGATCAGTGTGCCATGGCCTGCTGAGGGTGTGCCACTGTGGTGCTGCTCAGTTTGGGCTTCTCTGCCTCTCTGGTCCCTCTGGAGAGAAGAAGGACATGTCTGGGCTATTGACACCTCTCTTGGGTCTTCTGCCATGATAGCCTTGGCTTCAGTCCCAGAGCAGCAGTTATTAGCCCAGGGTAATGGCAGGTTTGAAAAATTACAAGTTTAAAATTAGGAGGTCAAGAGTTCTTGTTCTTTTTTTCATACTCTCTTTCTAGTTGGTTCATTAATCTTTCTCTATGCTGAAAGCCTTCAATAAGATGTGGGACACATCACAGAGTCCAGTTTTTACAGCCAGAGCTGGCTGCCCAAGGTGACTGGAGGCAACCTCGAGTCACCAGCAGTTAGATCCTCTCCCTGCATCCAACGTTAGTCTTGAGGAGATGGGGAAGAGCCCTTTCCCTCTCCCAGGCAGGAAGATGATTTATCCTAATTCAATTGTACATTTCAAACTTCCACAGTGTCCTGTGGCTTCACAGCTCACCCACCTTGCATGTGCAGACTTGCCAGTGATCATTTTGGATGTGTCTGCAGGAAATCCTGCTGTGTGCAGTACTAAGCTGCCATCACTCAGGCCACTGGCAGTAGGGCTTACTTCTACTTGTGACACAGAAATGGGATGTGACATGCCACCTTGGGAAGGCTGCTGTGTGCCCTGGAGCAGGGGAGTGGGCTGGCTGATTAGCTCTGGGACAGGCAGGCTTTGCCTTTGGGGTGTGGATGGAAAGGTTGGAACACTCTGACACATCTGTGTTTGATCAGACATCTGCAAAGGCACCGTGACCCAGCTGAATTTATTAAAATGGAGAGGGGGTGGATGTAAATGAACTGAGTGGAATAATGCACCCCATGGTACTGTGGGATGTAAGAGCATCTCCATCCTTCAGCAGCTGTGACAATTACAGGGTTTGGCTGTGAAGAGACATGTCCCCAGCTAATACTTTCAGCCTCTGCTGCTTCTCTTGATCTGTCAGAGCGAGGAGGCTGCAGGTATTAGAGATAACAAGCTGTGGTAAGGTATTGCTGCTTTGTTTCAAGTGTGCTAAATTTGTTTCTTCATCTTTTCTAAAGTAAACCTGTGACTCCTCCCAGAAATTTGGATGAAATCAGACAGGTGATAACAAGGTCCCACTAGCTAAGGTTAGTCACCCCTGGCAATGCAGCTGGATCCATGCAACAGTACATTTGGATGGGAAGAGGTTCCTGATTCAAACCCTGCCTAAGAGCGGGGATGTTCAACCTTTGGAGCATCATTTGAACCTGAGGATGTTTCCCACTCCACGGAGGGATTCCATTCCCTCCATGAAGTCAGGACATGCATCAGAATCTTAAAATACAGGCACATCTTCAGGAATTAAAGGAGAGTAAAAGAAACAACCAGGATCTCTTAAACATCCCTGTGGCCTGGCATTTGGAGAGGGCTGCAGTAATGACTGCTTGACCAATTCTTTGTCCTTGGTCCTCTCCTGATGGTGAGGGATGCAGCTGCCTGTGATTGCCCTGCTCTGTGTACACATATCCCTGTACACCAATATCCCTGCTAAGAATCACTCACACCCCATCCAGAACCTCTTAATCAGGAGAAATCCTTCTTAACATTCAGACTGAATTCTTGAAGCAACATTTCATCCATCAAAAGCTGAGGGTGAGTTTATACTTCAGGAAATAAAATATTCAGGATACTGAGCAATTTTGATTTTCCTTCTTTTTAAAAATATTTAGGAAACTGAGCAATTTTTATTTTTCTTTTTTTTTTTTTTTTTTTTTTTTTTTTTGCTAAATTAAAGTTGTAGTTGGTTTTATGAATTAAACTTTCAAGGTAGATGCATGGTCCTGCAGCACTCGTGCAGGAATTCAGATGGTCAGATACACAGGTAAGAAATCATATGAATGAAGATTATAATATCAGGCTCTGGTAGTTTTAAGTTTCTTTGAAGTGCAGGTTTTGTTATTCCTGTGGCCTCACCCTTATTAAAAAGCTCAGGAAAGTGTGTGTTTTCCTTCACATGCATGTCCTAGCCAAGCCATGCTTGCTTTCCCACAGCTTATCAAGATAAAAATGCAGGTGGAAAAAATCCTATTTCTGTCAAGCTTAGCCCTTCAGCAGCAATACCTTTTGCTGTTTCACACTGTGTCTCCTTTGCAGTACAACTGAGCTGGAAAATAGCAATGCCTACAGGAGGTTTTTAGAAGCAGGAGGTGGAACAAGAGATGCAGAAAACCTTAAGAACTGGCACAAAAGCCAGGTTCTAACCTGCATGGCTGTATCCCAGCTTTCCCCTGCTGTTCCCAGCAGTTTCCAGAGCACATAACAAGTCCAGCCTAACCCCAGGCTGCTTTTGGCCAAGTCGAGCTCCTGTTCTAATTCTGATGTCAGTTGCCTGACCCTACAGTGCAGAATGAGACCTCCCTGTGCATTTTGTAAGGAATTTTTTATCTGCATTCATGAAAAAATAAACTGATCTTTGCTCCGTTGCCTTTTCCATTCAAAATCCACCTTCTGGGGAATATGAATACTGCCAAAGCTTCCCCAGTCCACAGTTTTCTGGGTGAAATAAATTGGTTACTTCTCAGGGTGTTTTCCTTTCACCTAGAACAAAACGTGTTTTATTGTACTTGACTGCATTAATTGATGCCTTGGTTATGCACAGTGCACAGGTCAGATAATCAATATATTTTACCATTTAAAACCAGAAGGATTTGTGATCAATTCCGAGTCTGCCTTCTAATCTCAGGTATTCAGACTTGGTTTGTTTGTTTGTTCTGTTTCTCCCTGTAGCTAATGTGGATAACAATAATGTTGTTAATATAAGGTTTTAAACATTCCTAGCACTTGAGGACCAATCCTGCTTCCTTTGGATACGGGCAGGCAGTGCTTTCCTCGAGTGAAATGACAGAGCTGCTATGATTTCAGCTGCCACCTCCTTCTCACCCCACTGCAAGGAGCAGCAGGCTGTGCTTATTTAAACTGGAAGTGGAGCTGATCGCTGCTGGTGGGGAGTCACACCCTGCTTGGGAGGCAGCAATGAAACCCTGACTTGCTTCAGAGGAAGAAGGGACAGCCAGAGCAAACAGAACAAACTGTTGTGCAGACGCTGGAGCCACCGGAGATTGCAGAGGCGACCTTGTCACCAGATGAGGCTCTCCCAAAGCTTCTTATCCTGTTGTGCTGAGCTTAGCAGCAAGTCTGTCCCAGTCACAGCGTGTGGTGTGTGACCTGCTCCTCGGGCCGGCCACAAGTGCGTGCACAGGGTGGGCTGGCATGAGCCGTGTCTTCTGGATCCTGCTTCTCCTTCAGCAGGAGAGGCGGTGGGAAGGACTCGGGCATGTAAAGGAGGTGGTTCTGTGATTGTGGATTTGCTCTGCTGTTCACAATTAAAGCCGACTGAGTTGCTTTTCTACAGCTGCAGGGTACAGCGAGTGGTGCACACAAGGTGCTCAGACAGAAGCACTTTTTGGAAGCAGAGCGATGGCTCTCCTACATCCCTCTGCTCCCAGTCAGCTGGGTTCCTTCTCAACCCTGGGTACACTCTAAAATACCCATAAACGTGAATTTTAAAGAATCCCGTCTGTTATCACCCTTTAGGAGTTTGTTTTCCATGTGCATCCTCTCTGAAAAACCATTGCATTTTAGGTTAGTTTGGGGGTTCAGTGTTCAGGGTGAACATGCCAGCACCTGCACGGGGGAACATACGTGGGAAGAGGAGGGGAGCTCCACAGACGGTGCGTCCTGCACGCACACCTGGCCAGCACAGCCCTGTGCCCCGGCACGGCCACTCCCGCGTCCGGCCAGGAGTAACACGGAGGTCTGCCCCGTCCGGGGAATCGGAGCTGCCCCCGCCTCCCGGGGGAGGGCCGGGGCCGGGGCCGGAGCATCCCAGCGCGCCTGCTGGGGCCCGAGGGGCGCATCCCGGCGTTGGCGGCAGCCCCCGCCCCGCCAGCCCGCCCAGCCTGCGGGACGGCAGCGCCGCCGGAGCGTTGCCCTTTTAAGCTGTGGCCCCGCTCGCCTCCTCCCCGGCTCCCGGAGGGGCTCCGGCAGCCGGCACCGAGCGAGCGGCACCGAGCGACCTCCGCGCCCGCGGAGCCGAGCGGAGCCCCAGGGCGGCGGGGCCGCGGCCACCGGGCTGCCCCTGCCCTGCCCCCGCTGCTCGGGGACCATGGGATGCTGCACCGGCCGCTGCACCCTCATCTTCCTCTGCACTTTGCAGCTGGTGAGTGGAGGCGCTCGGCATCGGGGGGAGCCGGCGGGGACCCGCGGGTTCGGCTCGCCGGGACGGGGCCGCGAACAAAAGCGTCTCGGTGCCCGCTGCCCCGGCAGGGCTCCTCCGCAACTTGGCTCGGAGCAGCAAGGTGGAGGGATGTGGGCTGCGCTCCGGGGACGCTGAGCTGCGCCGGCGGGGATTTACCGGTGCTTAGAACTCAAAAAAAAAAAAAAAAAAAAGAAAAAGAAAAAAGGGGGTGGGGGCGTTAAAGAGTAGTTTTCCATTAATAAGTTTGTGCTTATAAAATACAACTGAAAAAAGAAGAAAATTACTCCTTGAGAGGAGTCCCGGCGGCTCGGTGGCGATGTTGCAAACCAAACCAAACTTCATACGTGCACAAACCCACCGGTACCTTCAGACTCTTCCGTGGAGGGGTCCTCCTGCATCCCACCCTGGTCGCCCGCATCCCACCCTGCTGGGATTTGTGCTGGCTCGGAAAGAATTATTTCAAACCTCCTCGGGATGAAGTGCTTAGATAGAATATGCCTATTATACGGATATATTTATGTAGGAATAAACTTCCCAGTGTGCGGAGAGTGCGGTCCCTGGTGGGAATGGGTCCGTCCTTGGCGGGTGCGGGTTCCTGGTCCTTATGACATCTGCATAGATGATAAACAAAGGTCTGGTTGTTCCCTGAGTGTCTGCGCATCCAGCCTGGGTCTGGAGGGTCCCCTTCTTGTCAATAGCTAATGGGCTCCAGGGCTCCTCCAGCCTTAAAAAGGAAATGACAGCATCTAGAATTTTAATTTCATTGCCGTGCCCCAAATTTGCTTTATTTTGGAGCGTTAGCAGCGCGCAGGAAAGGGCAGGCTTCCTGCGAAGTTCTTTTGAATAGTTTGCTGGTGCCAAGGGGTGAGTTTAGTTAAAACTCTTTGTTTTGGAGTTTGGTTCTGTGACAACGTTTCTTTTCCTGCAAAGACTCAGGGAGCAGACACAGGACTGAGGGTGGGAGAAAAAAACTGGGAACCTGCTAGTTTTGAAATGATATCCATCTGCCTAAAATTGAAAGGGAAGAGGGTGGGAATGCACCCCTGTGAACCCAGAGTAGCACAACTGGAAGATGAATGTGGAGGATTTGACTCATCGTTAAACAAAATACAGAATTGATGGGGTTTTCTTGCACAAAAGCGTCTTGCTCAGCATATTTATGAGCGAGTTGAATGGCTGGCAAGTGTATTTAGTCTCCTGGATTATTTCTTTTGATTTTTCACCCGTGATGACACAAGAAAGAAGCTGCACCCTGTATTACGTTAGAAATTGGAGTCTCAGCACTCACTGTCTCTTAAACCCATCACTATGTCATCCTGCTCTAAGCACACACTCACACACTGGGGGAAAAAAAGGGAGGGAATGAGAAAAAGAAAAAGCCATGAACTGCTGGTGCTGTTCTGATTTCTGACAAGCGTGGGAGTTTTCTTGTATCCAAGATACGGGGACAAAGAACCCCCAGCATTTTATTTTCCTTAAGACCCTCCTCCTTGAAGAAAAGAATCAGTTTGGCTCATTCTTCAGCAAGTTTGGATGCCTCAAGCTGTAGCGATTTCCCATGGCACTTGCTGGGTGAATTGGTAGAGCTGGAAAAATGTGAACTATGGTGAGGGAATTTGTGGAGCTGTGCTCTGGTGGGGGTGAGGTCAGGAGATCCTGGCCGGTTCCCAGCAAGAGCTTGGGTGAGGGTGAGATCTAGTGTGGTTCTTTGTTATTTACTTTATTATTTAATTGAGCAAACTTTGTCTGTAAATCATCCCATCGCTTCCACATCCGCACGGCCAAGTGGCGTGCAGGACTCACGGCTGCCCAGGGTAGGCTCTGCTAAGACAAAACACTGAAGCAATCAGGCCAAGATCATCAATAAATTATAATGACGTGAACTTCCTTTGTTCATCTCATGTCTCTGCTCAGCTTCATTTGATACTTTGAACCCTTCACAGCCTCCCCTGTTTCTTGCCAAGCTCTGGGTCTCCCACTGCCAAAGTCCCAGGGGTGAAATTATGGCTCTTGTGTGGACGTTTTGCCTCTGAGTTAAGTGGGGAGAGGATTTCAGTTCTGCAGCACACCCCTGAGATCTGTTACATGTTCTTGTGTCTGTTCCTTAAAGCTTCACTGGGCTTTTTATATAAATGGTGAATGGAAACATGAACAACCCCCCAAACAAGTCTACTCAGGGATCTGAGTTGCAATGCTTCATATAGATTGTTTTATTATTAGGTGCAAGTTGTTGAGTGAGCGTGCGGGGAAGTGTTTGCACACTGCAGTCTAAATGTTTCCCTGGGAAAAAAAAAAAAGCCAGAAAACAAACAAATTCATCATTTGCAGTATGTGCTCCCAAAGAAAAAAGTTTGTGCTCCAGCCGGAGAGCAGAACAACGTGTGAATTGAAGGAGCTGCTACACAAAGCGAATACCAACGAGCTCCTCAGCCCCCCACGGGCTGAGCCTCGTGGCACAGGGAGAGGAGGAGAGCGTTTGCATCTGTCTGAAGAAAATCAGGGCTGAATCCCCAGCGGTTTGCTAATCAAGGGGGGAGGGAAGGCTGTAGTTTGAATAAATAATTTGCCGTGCTCCAGTTTTAGATTATTGTTTCCTTGAAGCGTCCACGTTAGGCTCCGTGCTTTGCTGAGCGGTGCTGCAGGGAAGCTGCAAGAAGGTTCTGGCTCTCCCTTCCTCTGTCCTGGTGTGCATCCCTGTCCCTAATCCTTCCCTTTTTCCCAGTTCAGCCCTACCTCCAGCAGCAGTTTGGGGAAAGTTGGCCCAGGTCAGGGCTATCCTGCAAAAAAGCTTTTCCTCAGCCATGGATGGCATGGAGGAGGACCATCAGCAAAGTGTTGGGTGTTTGTCCAGGGTTTGTGATTCCCAAAGGGGTTGCCCTCTCTCCATTCTCACTTTGCCCAAACATCTCTGCCGTCCAGGAGCTGTTGGCACCTACAGCAAACCACCAGCCCTTCCTCATCCCTCCCAACCTTAGGGCAGACGCATATTAAGAAACAAGAGCAAAGTTTAAATGAACCATAGGCCTCCCCAGGAAAAAAATCATGGGGTTCTCTGTCAGGAAGCCTGTGTAGTGGGTTAAGAAATGCCTCTTGTAGGAATTAGAATTGAAAAAGGTTTGCCAAGGGCAGGATTTCTGAACCCGAGTGGAATGAGGCTGTCACACCCACCAGTGGGCTGGGTGGGTCCTGGTGGGGAGCCACAGACCAGGGCTGGGTCTCAAGCAGGGAGATATGAAATAATCATTGATTTGCTGCTTTCCTCTCGGCCAGTGTGAGATTGCACCCAACTGGTGAATTTTCTGGAGCAGTAAGTGCCTGTGCACCGGAGGCACTATGTGAATTTATTTCCACTGAGCATGGAAAAATTCCCTGGCTCCCCATGCCCTGTCCCTATAAATCAAACAGCTGTAGTTTCTTTACATTCTGTCCATGGATTGAGAGCTCAGATGCCAAGCAAAGCCTGGAGACAATTTTACAGATACATTATAAATCCCCCTAGAATAACAGCTTCTAATGGAAAAAGTGACTAATACTTCAAATGAACACAGAACAAGGCGCCCTGGGATGGGACTGCACATTGAGACTAACCAAAAGTAACTATATACATTTATTTATTTATTCATTTATTTATTCATTTATTTCCTCATGATCTCTTTCTGTCTCGCTCCTTTCTTAGTGATTCCTTTTTAATCTCTTACAGAAGAGGGTGACCAGTTCTGGAAGCTATTTGAAACCAGCACAGATCCTTCTCTAACTACTCTCTTGAAGTGGTTATATTGGTTTGATTGAGGTATAAAATGATGCAGGGCACGTGAGGAGTAAGGGCAGAAGGGGAGTGTTGCAGACTGGCAGTGGGATGCCATGGAAAGGCTGGATCTGGGCAAAAATGAAGTGCAAGTTAAAATAGTTGCAATAGAGGAATTTTTTACAAAGGCATGTGGTGATAGGACAAGGGGGGAATGCCTTTAAATTGAAAGAGAGTATGTTTAGATTGGATTTTGGGAAGAAATTCTCCCCGGTGAGGGTAGTGAGCCCCTGAGAAGCTGTGGCTGCCCTATCCCTGGAAGTGTCCAAGGCCAAACTGGATGAAGCTTGGAACAGCCTGGGATAGTGGAAGGTGTCCTGCCCGGGCAGGGGGTTGGAATGAGATGAGCTTTAAGGTCCCTTGCAGCCCAAACCTGGATTCTGTGACCCCAGTTGTCTGACTCAATCCCTCAGCACACGTGGGCTGCAAGGGGGAGTGTGGCACAGCACGTCCCTCTCCAGGGTGAGGAGGAGACGGGATTGCAGTGTCTGGGGGCTGTAGAAATTACTGGCTTGGCTTTCTCCTCTCCACCCCAGGGGTCATTTGGGCTGGAGGTTGGGAGAGGAGAGCAGGACTTGTCTCTCCCCTCCTCTGCAGCTGCCTCAGGAGCCAGGGCAGAGTCAGGCTGCCCTGAGGGAGCTGTGAGTCTGCACAGCTGCCATGTGGCTGAGCACAAAGCCTTGGGGGGAAGAGCAGGTGCAAGGGGAAGCACAGCATCCCTTGGCTCATCACGCTGCTCAGGACCCCTCCAAAATTACCTTGTGCTGTCCCCAGCTGTTTATCTTCTCCATGGCTTGTGCTTAAATCCTAACCCCTCCAGGGAAAGGGCCATCTTTGGTAGATGTGACAGCACCCAGCTCTGTGATGGCTCAAACCTATCCTGAAGTCCTTGAACAATATTCCAGGCTAAATAATAACGTAAGACTAAAGACTGCGTTTGACAGATGCTGTCTTCTCCGTGTCTGTTCCAGACAAAGGAAAATTAAAGCTGTGCCAATAATAGAGCTCGTCAGCATTTTCCACTGAAGCTGACTTTCAGTAGAAACCTGGAGATTTGACTAAATGAATATTTTCATGAGAAGTATCTGCTTTCCATAGACAATCCTGACTTTTTCTCCCAAGTTTTGGCCAGAATATTTTGGCGAAAAGTCAAAAA